CAGAAAAAACTAGATATGTGGACCATCATTTAACAGTTTACAGAATTGATCTAGCTCGTTCCGTTCGGGAGATATAACGATTCTTGAGAGGACAAGTTTTTTTGAACGACTGGATAACTTTACTGACTAACTCGATGCATGTGACATAACAATAACTGTTTAACCGTTAAACATGTAAACACTTTATATGGATTACGTAGGTTTTCATTCCATATAAAATTAAAGTGCTTTTATAGATTTGAATTACTTTCCCAAAATACAGTAAAATTCAATTGCTATTAACTTAGAAGCAAATGATTTTTACAAACGCAAGCATTCGGTCAAATCATTTTTACATTCAGTCAATTCATTATTACATCAGTGAGTGTTGTATTGAAAGCACTGCGACAATTGAATTGACCGAAAACTAAACTGATTTGACCGTCAGCTCGCGTTAGTAAAAATCATTTGCTCTTCGTACATTATTGAAAGAAAAATCATTAATTCTATTTGTAAGGATATAATAGACTTGTTATTTTTATCATTTATAAGATTGTAGGAATAGTTATATTATTAATTTTGCATCAATGATGCAGTATCATAAATATATTGTATTTACTGCGCTATATATTGGATTTATTACTGTCATTATGTGCTGGATTATTAAATATCTTTAAATGTAATAAACAATAAAATTAATACTTTTATTAAATATAACAGTTTAATAAAAAAAATAGTGCTACAAAACAAAATTTTGAGGAACATTTATTATATAAGAAGTTTTTAAAAAATCTTATTACATAAATTGATTTACATTTATTATTATTGTTAATTACGTACACATTAATGAACAGTAAGCAATAATAACTACATAAAGTTGAACAGAAACAAACAGTCAACGTTTGAAATTAAAAATTTACTTAAATGTAACAAGTATATTGTTAAAAATAATATTTAACCCGTACACAGTATGTCCTACTTATAAACACGGGTTAAAACTGATTGATTACAATTCAGTTCTATCCATAATAACGGGAACATCGGTTTTGTGATCACTGCTATCGATATAGTCTAACCAATTAACTATAGTATTGTTATAAAGTGTTGGATCACTGTTTTTATAGTCATTTGGGGTCAGCGTTAACGGGCGGACAGCCGTGCGGTTAAACTCCACCAAACGGTCCCATAAAATGGCCACAAACTCGGCCTCAATCTCGCCGATCAGGTCGTGCCGTTCGCACGGATCGTGCCTTATGTTAAACAAACACAACTTTGTCTTACAATCGGTCGGTGTGTCGGCCGTAGAGGGAAGGGGTGGGCACTCGACCGCCGACCCCTTCAATACGCTATAATCGGGTTTACGGCTCATCGCCGACAATACGCCATACGTTTTACTATTCCGGCGTTCAGTGGACTGACGTGTGGAAAATGATTGCGTGTGGTTTAGCAGGATTTGACTGTCGGTATAGCCCTGTTGTGAACGCCAGTCGCCCATTGACGGACTGCTAGGGTTGGGAGTTTGGACGAGTTTCCAGTCGTGCCATAGTATGGCCGACCCGTTCCACACCGGGTCCACGTTGTGGTGGATTTCCCACCGCACGGGTCGGCCATCGTTTGACAGCACATCCCATTGCGATACACCTAATTAGTGTATATAACATTTTGAATGAATGATTATCATTAATTCACCTTAATTTATAACACAATTACCATAAATATTTTGCTGGTCTTGAATGCCGGTGCCGTCGATGGCGTCCAACACTGTGGGCAAGAGGTCTGTCACGTGAACCAAAGCGTCGGAAACGTAACCACTTTTGTTGAGGAGTGGACTCCAGACCAGTGCCGGCACTCGTATGCCTTCGTATGGATATTAACACAAAGTTATTATAATTATAGTTAGTTTACTAATTATTAATTTAAACCTCCTTCAAATAAACCAAACTTTGCGCCCCTAAGAGGTCTGTTAGACGCTCCGTTACCTAAATAATAAAATATAATATAAAAATAAACATGATAAACTTTCTAAGTATGCGCTCAAAGCCCCTGTCCATTGTATACCCAACACAACACATACCCACTATTTCCAGATTATCGCCGCCGTTATCGCTGATGAATATCACAATACTGTTGTCTAACATGTGTTTGTTGTGCAACGCCTGCATAACTGTGCCAATAGAGGCGTCCATACTATAGGCCATTGCGGCAAACTTTTGACGCACATCCGACTCAATGTACGCAAACATATCGATGTACTTCTGGGGCGCCTCCAGAGTCAACCCAACCCTCGCCGAGTGCACGGCCTGATAGGGCACGTATAGAAACAGGGGTTGCGATGTGTTTTGTTGGTCTGTAAAATTAAATTTATGGTAAATTTAACATTAATCAATTACATTTCAAAAAGGTCTGGTGTTTAATTGTAAATGTATATAATTTTTTCAGTGCTTTTTGTTTCAATCAGAATAAAAAGCGCTGCAAAAGCATTATTTTTTATGAATGTAGGAAATGCTTAATAATAATTCATATAATGAGTATATGTATGTATTTTTGCCGCAAAACTAACCGATTATATGAAGGCACCGATCGGTGAAATAATCTGTTGAATAGATGTCCGACGCGTCTCTAATCACATCCATATTATGATAAAAATCTAGATAACAATTGCCTTTGAAATAACAGTCGCTGTGATTGTAATAGTGCTGTCCGGCGCCCCAAAAGCCCACGTGTGAGTCAAAGCCCCGGTATGTCGGCGTGAATTCCTTGCGGGCGTGACCTAAATGCCATTTTCCTGTTTTTTAAAATAAAAAACATATTAGTATTCAACAAATATAAAATAAGTATTACAAATGTTATATTCATATTATATAAATAATATTTTAAACCTACACATTTAACATTTTGTTAACTTGTTGTTTCAGTTTTATTATATCTATAACAACAATATTATAATAGTGTATATAAAATTACAAATATATTACAGTAAATTTATATTAAATTTAATAATTAGGCAACACTGTTTTATAAATGATATAACAATTAAACAAAATTAATCATAATTATTTAGCTCACCGACAATATGTGTTGAGTAATTATGCGCATCTTTAAGATATTGTGGCCATAGTTTAAAGTTAAGGGGCAGTCCAGTGGGCGACCAGTGAAGTATCACCGAGTTTTGTAGGCCAGTGTGTATGGGGTGTACGCCTGTGAGCAGTGCCCCTCTGCTCGGACTACAGAGCGGTTGTGTGTAGTAATGGTTGAGTACAACGCCGTCGGCGGCCAGAGAGTCGATGTTTGGCGTCAGCATATGGTCCGAGTGATAGCCCACGTCAGCCCATCCCATGTCGTCCGCCAAAAACACCACTATATTTGGTGCTTGTTTTGCTGCGCCCGACCACTGAATGGACACACTTAACAAACTTACATAAAATAACGTAATTATTTTCATCGTGGTAGTTTTGATTAATTAATTTTATAGATTTAATTGTTTTATTAAATTAATTTTTTATAACAATATTATATTGCATATCTTATTAGACAAAAATTATGGTGTGTTTAAAAAACTTTATTTAAGAACTGTATTGCTCTTAAAGTTACAGTATTTATTTTACCAGTCATTGAAAATGACTAGTTTAATTTTTAAATTACAAAACAGCCCATTGCATAATCGTGTACTGTATTATATTAATGCAAAATTAGTTTATTTATAATGTTTTAATAATTTACTGTGTAAATGTAATGTACGTCAGAAATTATGATCTGGGTTATCATTTTTGAAATTATTATTATTGCAATTTATTATACAAACTAAACAAGGTGTATCATATTAAAATTTTGAAAAATACATTGGTTTTATTAAACACAATACAGTGAAAATAATGTCTAATATTGCCAATAAGTTAATACAATATATAATTTAGTGACTATACACATTTCATAATATTTAATAAAATAATTATTTTAAATTGCTAAAATTATTGTTTCATTATTTTGGACATTTATAAAAAAAATTAAAAAATAAAATGAAATATTACACATATTATGTTTTACAAATATGAATTGACAATTATATAATATAAATTATACAATACTTATTACACTTTTACAATTAATAAACATTAAATATTTTAAATAACGTAAATTTATAGAAATCCGCAATTTTTGTAAAACATAATTTAGTACCTAAATTAATTGTGAATTTTTTAATTATTGTTTTGATTTATATCTGTGTTTATTGATTTACAAAATGGTGCCATGCATTTGTCTATATGTCTTGTGGTTACGGCGTGATACTTCCCCGAAGAGAGTGATCTCTGAAATAACTTTGGCACAATGACCACGGCACTTTTTTAATATGAGATAATAAG